ACATACTCGTCATCAGCAACATCCGATAAATAGAACTCGGCAAACAAAAAGTGTAATTCTTTTTCGGGGCCCACACTTGCCACTAAGTTCATATGCACCCAAGTTGTCTTCTTTTTAGTGAAGTCCATTAAGAGACCAGGGCATTCAAACCTATTGCATTCCAGAGCCCTTTCGAGCTTCAAATTTATTCCCTGGATTGGTATATTTCTTTTTTCAAGACAGCAAAAAATTAAAAAAAAAAGGCAAAAAAAAAATAAAAAGGGTACGAAGAATTTTCCATGAAAAGAAAACAGAACTAGGAAGAAGGGTTGAGTGGACTAAAATACATGTTTCTCATTGTAGTCCTGTATTGCAAATTCTGCAAATTCGGTGGCATCTTGTTCGAACAATATGATCGACTCGCAGGCCTTTTTCCTGCACGAAGTACAAGTAAATACAATCAACTTGCAATTCAAAATCATATGTCATGAATTAGCGGACGATTACAAAGAAAAAGCTAGATTACACAGGATAAAATCCAGCACGAAATCCTGGACTCGGACACCAAATGCAAGATGCACAAGTACAACCATATCCATGAATAATATTGCTTCCTTCAACAATTTTGTCCCCTGCAACAAACCAACAAAACAGAAACAAACACTCTGCATAAAACTAGAAAAAACTCTACTTGCTGAGGCATACTTAAACTTTAAGAGTGACTACAAATTTTCGTTCCATACATGATTTCTCCAAGCATCACCGAAAAAAATTTAAAAAATAGAAAAGAGGAAAACGAATCATATCCACATAATGCAAGAAACTTCAAATTGCAAAGAGAGCAAGAAAAAACAAAACAAAAAAAAAACATGAGCAAACAGGGTTACAGTTCACCTAAATAATAAGAGGGCTCCACGAGAGACAATTTAGTGTGCTTAAGCTCACTGTCGCGATATGATTCAGCGAAGAACACGAGTGGCTTTTTGTTACTGGGACTCGCCTTTTTCCGCCTAGCCAAAAAATTGGAATGCTTCCAAAGTCTGCGGATTAGCGTAAAATCAACGCCAACACCAAGGGTCCACGTAGACCATACCTTGCCTTTCAATACCCTCACAAGCTCCAAGTCGGTCCCCTAGAAATTTAAGTTTAAGAATATATATAAAATTAAGTATAAGTTCCAATTACAGGGGAAAGGATAAAATATGAGGGGGGTGAAAAATTAATAACATGTTTGTTGTTGTAGTCGCTTAATGCAAGCTCAGCCCCCTCCTCCCATTTCTCGATACGATGTCTTACCGGCCTGCGAGAGCGATAAATCGCAACACAGAAATATTTATGTGTCATCAATTTTCTAAGCACAACAATATTAAGGAATTCACAAGTAAGTTAACTAGTGACAGATTAGCATTACCAATTCATAAGCTGGAAAAAAAAAAATATGGAGATGGTGAAAATAAATCATCGCAGATAAAGAATCAAACAAAAACATCAAATTTACAATACAAGCAATGCCCTAATTCGAAGAAAAAGTCGCAGATGATAAAGAAGTCCACAACAACTCACCCATCGGCGTTAGTATATACTAGACGGGTCTGTTTACGCCGCATGGCTGGGATTCCGATCAATGGGAACGGAAAAAGGAAACAACAGAAAAACTCGATTCGATTGATATTAGCACGGCGGCTCCGGCGGAATTTAACGATTGAAATTCTCCGTCGCTGATCGTAATACAATAGTTATTCAGAATCAAATTCTGGCTTCTATTTGAATAGAGATTGATGGTAGGTAGAAAACTTTGTTCCGATACGATTCGCCGGAAAAAATCTATTTGGAAGTAAAGATAATGTTGGGTAATAGTTAAATCCAAAAAAAATCTTGATTATAGAAGGGATTGAGTTTTTTACATTTGCTAAATCAAAGTTGTTTAATTAGTATTTAAAATTAAATTCTAAAAAAATATGCGTGTATATTTTATAAAATATTTATGCACTATTTTATGTAAAATTTATTTACATAATTTAAATTGAATACATAAATATATAATAATAATGTGCATTAAATATTTTTCATTACATAAAATAAAAATAAAAATAAGACGTACAATTTCTATAATTTTTATAAGTAATAAAGACAATATATGACAACAAAGTTTGTAATAAAATAAGAATTAACCTTTATATGGTGAACAAGATAAATAAAATTGTTATTTTCTCTTATATCAAGAAATAAATATATAGTAAAAATAATTTTATATTAATGTAAATGTGTTAGTTAGATATTATATTAATTATTTTATAAGTTAGCCCTAATATGATCATATTTAATGTTCTCGCTAAAAAACAATGCTGATTAAAAGGGCCCTCTAGTTTTTTTTATACTTAACAATAATTAAAAAATATGAAAAATAAATGATAACCTATTGTTTTGTTGACTTAAACAAACATAACATGTGAAAACAACTCATTTAATATATATATTCTGCATGCACGTACTTGTGACTAATAAAATGATTAGCTTGCTATGAGTCTATGCCCATCATAATTGCGTGTTCTAGTTTATGTTATTTTAGGCGTTTTAATATGGGTTGAAATTTTAAACTCGTCTATTTTTGTGTTGGGACTAAATTAAGATTTAATATCGTATTAAAAATAATATTTGTGCCAATAATTTTGAGTTGCATAAATGTAACTATCATGAACATTTGCAAACATTTGAAAATCAGAAATTAGAAAAACAGTGAACCCTAAGGTTCAGTTGGCTAAAACGAATTGTTGTTGTCGAGTTCAATTGGCTGAAATGAATTTCTCGACTACAAGGCACTACCACAAGTAAATGTTTTCTTCTTTCTTGATAGAAATTTTGGGTTGCACAAATATAGCTATCATGAACATTTCTAACATTTAAAATCAATGTTTAGTTCATTTTCAACTCCCTCCAAACCCTATCCTCACTTGGACAGTTATGACAAATAATAAGCTAAAGCAAAATTGAGCCACACATAAACAATGTCTGATGAAATCATGAAACTAACTAAAGGAGGTCTTTCTCCAACTATCCTACTCTATTCCATTTACCTTGATTACGATTCTAAACATTCATTTGAAAGACACGACAAAATTATTAGATGGACGAAAAATAAAAGAACAAGACATAAGGAGAAAAGTGTCGACGGATAATCAAGCAACCAATAATCTCATAACAGCATACATATAAAATTTTTTAGCCATACATAATACATAACAAATGGCTCGCAAATTGTTTCATTATTCAGAGTCCATTCAACAAAAGCATACCATTCACAATCATAATCAGTCATACTAACTATAACAAGGAACCATTTAGTCTGTCAAAGCATAATTTGTCGAAGCATAATTTAGTTTTCCTCAGAATTTTCAAGTGCAGCATCAGGTGGGTAGAAAGATGAAAAACATCCTTCCATTGGATGAAGAATAGTATCAGGGCACAAACGACACCACAACCCTGCATAGAATCACAAATAATTTTTATCTTTAAGAATAATATTAACATGTTGACAAGAAAAATAACGCATTGACAAGAATAACAACGCAATAAATAAATAAAGACTTGTATAATTGCAACCAAAAGGTTTTATTTACCATCCTTTTTACTAACATGCTCACAGTCAGAAGGATTCACCAGTGCCAACGTCGCAAGCACATACTCGTCATCCGATAAATAGAACTCGGCAAAGAAAACGAGTAATTCCTCTTCGGGGCCCACTCTCGCCACCAAGTTCATATGCACCCAAGTCCTCTTCTTTTTAGTGAAGTCCATTAAGACACCAAGGCCTTCAAACCTATTGCATTCCAGAGCCATTTCAAGCTTCAAGTTTGTTCCCTGGATTAGTAGATTTATCAAGTGAATATATATATCTATATAAAAAAAAGGAAAAAAAAAAAAGATAGGTTATCAAAATGTCCATGGATAAAAAAAAAAATAAAAAATCAAACTCGAAAAGAAGGTTAAGTGGACTAAAAACATGTTTCTCATTGTAGTCCTGTAGTGCGAATTCTGCAAACTCGGTTGCATCTTGTTCAGACAATATGATTGTCTTACAGCTCTTCTTTCTGTAGGGAATACAAGTAATTACCAATTAATCATTTCCAATAGAAAGACAGATATAATAAATAAGAGGATGGTGACAAACAAAAAGATAGATTACAAAGGATAAAACCCAGCACGAAATCCTGGATCCGGACGACATACGTAAAATTCGCAACGAGAACAATATTCCCCTGCAGCAAACAATGAAACCGAAATCACTGGTCAGAACAAATAATGCTGGATTTTATTTGTCATTATTATTATTATTATTATTAATCTTTTTGGCATGGTTTAAGAACAAACAACAATCTAATAGAGCAGTATTAGATTGAGTATTACAAGAAAAGCTGTAACTAGCTGAGATATATAAAGATTGATTATATCATGTATTCATCATGTATTCACATGAATTCAACCAAATGTCTAAAGAAATAACAATTATCACAAAAAGACAAAAAATCATATCTACAAAATGCTAGTTGACACAAAAATCAAATCACATAGAAAACAAGAAAAAACTAAAAACATACAACATTCAGGACATAATTAACCTCCATGATAAGTAAGATCCACGAGTGACAATTTAGTATGATAACGCTCCCTATCAACGGGAATATATGATTCAGAAAACAGCACAAGTGTCTCTTCGTCATGGGAACCCACATTCCGCCGCCTGGCCTCCAAATTGATATGTTTCCAAACGCAGCGCTTGATCGTAAATTCGAGACCAGTACCAGCTACATACGCATTCCATACCTTGCCATCCAAAACCC